TCTTTCCTTTTTTTTTTTTCAGGGCAGCCTGGAACTCACTATGCAGATCAGGCTGGTCTTGAAAGCTCAATAATCCACCTGCCTCTGCATCCCAAGTGTGAGTGCTGGGATTAAAGATGTGTGCCCCCATGAATGGGTTTTTTGTTTTTTTTTTAAGACATGGTTTCAAGTAGCACAGGCTGACCTCAAACTAGACATATAGCTAAGAATGATCTTGAACTTCCTGGTACTTCTGCATCCATCTACCAACTGCCGGGACTACACACATGTGCCAACACGCCCAGTTTCAGGCAGTGCTAGAGATGAAACCCAGAACTTCTTCATGGTAGACAAGTACTCTATCAACTGAGCTACAGCCCCAGCCCTTGACTTTACCTCCAGGACCCTATACCCCACGAACTGTTACAGGAATAAGAAGAAAAGGTAGGTAGCCTTGCTAACCCAATTATAGCCAAGAAGAAGAACAGCAAAGCAGGGATAAAATTCTAAAAAGAATTGCAAGCTTGAATAGACATAACCCTCAGAGAACTTTAAAGGGCTGTTTATGTAAAAAATAGTGACATATTTGTGAAGAACAAAGCTATAGGTCAAAACTCAGCATTCAATGGCTCAAACCACTGGATTCTATACTTCTCTGGGTTTGTTCTTCAAGAGTCTGAAGGTCCGTTCCAGACACCCAGCTACAGGAATGCATACTTACTCTGTGAGTATGTGACCTCAAAGCCACGTCCTTGCTGCCCTTCATTGGTCCTCAGTTTTAATAACATGCTGTCTCCACTGGAGATGACAGGAGCTGGTGTCGTATCCCCACAAAGCTTACTTAGCAGATGTGAGCTGGTACTTGGGCCATCATACACCTTTAAGAAAACATTTTGAATATCAGATGATCATAGCTATGAATGTTATTGAATTGACCATTTAGTAGAGAAATGGAGATAAAATACATATATTCTACAACAAGAGAATAGCCCTAGGGCTGGAGAGATGGCTCAGTGGTTAAGAGCACTGACTGTTCTTGCAGAGGACTGGGGTTCAATTCCCAGCACCCACATGGTGGCTACGAACCGTCCTTAACTGCAGTTCCAAGGGAATCCAAAACCTTCTTCTGACCTCTGTGGCATTGCATGACACAGGTGCATTCACATACATGCAGGCAATACACTCGTACACATAAAATAAAAATAAAAGAAAAAAAAGGGAAAAATAGGCCTAACGGGGCTGGAGAGATGGCTCGGTAGTTAAGAGCACTGGCTCAGCACCCACATGGCAGCTAACAACTGTCCATAGGGAATCCAAAACCCTCTTCTGACCTCTGTGGCATTGCATGACACAGGTGCATTCACATACATGCAGGCAATACACTCGTACACATAAAATAAAAATAAAAGAAAAAAAAGGGAAAAATAGGCCTAACGGGGCTGGAGAGATGGCTCGGTAGTTAAGAGCACTGGCTCAGCACCCACATGGCAGCTAACAACTGTCCATAATTCCAATTCAAGGCAATCTGACACCCTCTTCTGTCCTCCGTGGGCACTGCATGACGTGAGTGCATTTACACACATGCAGGCAGACCACTCATTCACATGAAATAAAAATAAATAAATTTTAAAAATAAAAAAAGAATAGCCCTGAACAGAGATATCATTAAAAATTAAAGTGTTTTTCAGAGGATGGTGTGATAAGAATAGGAGGTAGGAACTGGCTAGGCAGTTAGGGTAAAAAGACCCCAAAGAAAAGTAGCCAGTTTCTTAGCTAAAAGTCAAAATGTCCTTGGGCCTCTTAGCAACATACTCTGGTCTAAAGGCCAAAAATGTCCAAAGTTTTTGGGAGTTTGTATCTAATCCATAAAAGATTTTAGGGTTACCTCTTCAGAGGGAGGAATGTTAGAGTAGCCAAAAGCTCCATAAAAATAAATAAATCAAGGAAGAAGAAAGAGTACATGAAGTTATCAGAAAAAAGTGATGGGGAGATATGGGAGGAGTTGGAGGGGAGGGAGTGGGCATGGATTTGATTAAAACACCTTATATGCATGTATGAAATTCTCAATAAATTATTTATTTAAAAAAATTAAAATGTGTCTAAAGTTAAGAAACAAATTGGTAAATACAACAGTAAGAAGTGAATTGAAGTTGAAGTCTGAACATTGTAGGTGAAAGTTCAGTGCAAATTTTGAGAAAATAATTAGTGCACTTTATAATTTATAGTTTGTGAAGCTTTATCCTATCTTTTTTTATGACTTTAGTGGAATATGGTCATTTGCTGGCACTATAAAAAGATGTAGTTGGATGAATCCAATATCTTCTCTAATTCACCAAGACAGTTTTGCAAATTGTTATTTTTCAACACATAGATAAAATTATATAGATTATGGTTAGAATAAATTCCATAACTGCTCTTAGGATATTTAACCATATCTTCATAATTCATATTCAAAATATTTTAAAGATTTGCTATATTAAGTCACTCAGTACTTATTATACTTCAAAGAAGTTTTTTTTTCCAAATTTCTTTTAAGGCTTCACCGTGTTTAAATTTTTTATGTGGATGCTCCTTTAAATACTCCCACTGTTTGTGTCTCAGAAACAAGTAAACACATTGTGTACAGTGGTGAGATGTGCACAGTGAAAGACCCGGGGACCTTGTACATACAGCCAGATAATCCAAAGAGCAGCTGGGATGATGCTCCAAGTGGAAGTCATTGAATTCCAGTTTGAAAGGGCTGCCAGGGTTGGCTTTTAACCACCAGTAGCATTCAGAGCTGTGGTAGTAGGGCATCGGGTAGTTGGGAGACGTAAATAGCCCTGTGGAAGTAGTGAGATTGCCTCCACAGCCTGCCGGAGAAGAAACACAGAATGAAGCACGGCGTTTTCTTTCTGGTAAAATTAAACTTCTTGGCTAAATGACAGTCTGGTGCTAGTACACGTTTCCTTATTTACTTACTTTCCGGTGCTGGGGATGGAACCCTGGCCCTCAAGTATGCTAGGCAAGAGTCCTACCACTGAAGTACAGGACTAAAAGTACATCTCTAGTCTTTGGCTTTTAGAGATAAGAATCCCGTATGTAGTCCAGGCTGACCTCAAAGCACAAATTTGAGATGCTCCGGCCTCTCCTGGAATGCTGGGATTACAGGTGTGTACCACCACACCTAACTTTCACTCTTTTCAAAATAAAATGGTAATACAACACTGCATCACAAAGTAGCTACAGTCCTAACTCATACCAACATACTTCCTTCTGCTAAGCAAGAGAAACAGCCTGATAGACTGGGCCAGAGAACCTCAACTTTTCTCCTCTGTACTTTTAAATATATGGCTGCTGTTAATTCAAACATAATTTGTTTGGTTGGAGTTTAATATAACTCTTTAATATAAAGGAAAAATAAAGCTAGTAAAAACTGATAAATGATGACAGAATGACCGTCTGAGAATGCAGAAACCAATCAGCTTGGATTCTCTGTTAAAGACTGAGCTTTACGACTCACCAGTTAATGATCCATCCCAGAAAGCTGAGAAACCCATCATTTCGTATACCAGGTCACTCCGAAATCTTAACCACAGTTTGTTACTGTGAGAGATGATTGTTGGAGGCAGATTTGAGCCACAGTACCTTCCAAGGAATGGTGAACTTTCATAGCCTCCATCTCTGTGACAGAATACAGAAATGAAAAGATAGAGATGTGTTGGGGAACCCTGCTGTGAAGGTTGGCTCCTTTCTCAGCAGGGCTTCCTGCCTGACTTACCTGGAAAGTGCCGCCAAGCATGGACGCTTGGCCTCATTTAAAACATGACCTTTGGCATAGTTACCTGGAGTAAAATCTACCCCCAGGTTTCTTCTATATGATAATTGGGCATTGCCCGGTAGTCAGATGATAGGAGCCTACTGCCACATGTAAATAAAGCATACTATGAGCACCTATCAGCTGAAGCATTGGCTACTGCCTCCACACTATATGCTGAATCTGGAGCTGTTTCACTGAGTCTGGAGCTGTTTGTATCACTGAACCTGCCTCCCCGGGAGGGCTTTCTTCCTGTTTGTCGCTTCTGCTCCCTTTGTCCTTGTGGACTGGTGGCCAACAATCCATGAGGGAAAGGGAGAGACCCCACAGAGATGCATACCAAAATGACTAGCTTAATTTAAACTGATGTAATGATATGGAAAGATATATACCTTTACTGATGTTTTAATTTTTAAAATATCTCACTGAAATCCACACTCCTAGACTTTTGTTATTTAAAATCAAAGGTTTTAAGGTAGGGTGTTTTTATATCAATGTTTTTGTGAAAAAAGTAGAGTAAATGGACAACAAAGATGCAAAACCCTAAAAAAAATTTTTACATGAGAAATTACTCAACTGTTATGGTTAGTGCCAACTGTCAGCTTGACACAAGTTACAATCACTTGGGAAGAAAATTCAAAGAGGCAAATGGGTTGGCCAATGGGTCTGTCTGTGGAGGTCTGTCTTGATTAAGTTAGGTGGTGTGGGAAGACCCAGCCCACCATCGGTGGCGTCACTCCCTCAACAGGTTCCTGAGCTGTGTAAGAGTGGGGTAATTGCTCTGAGCACAAGCAAGCATTCACTTTTCTTTGCTCTTGATTGTGATGATGTGACGAGCTGAGTTCCTGTCACCTTGATCTACTTGTTCTGAGACCTTCAGACTGGGGCCTGAGAGCAATGACCCTCCCCCCAGTTTCTCCCCCAGGTTTCTTTTGTCAGTTTTGTTTTTTTTTTTTTTTTTGACAGGGTCTCCCTGTAGCCCCACTATTTAGACTAGGCTGGCTTCAGTCTCACCAAGATCCACCACCTACCTCTGCCTCCCCTGTGCTGGGCTTAAAGGTGATTAAAGGTGTGCAGCATCATGCCTAGCTTTAGTCATGGTATTTTACCACAACCAGAGAAATAAAACTAGAGGCCAGGCATGGTGGTTCATGCTTTTAATCCCAGCACTCAGGAGGCAGGGGCAGGCAGATCACTGTGAGATCCAGGCCAGCCTGGTCTGCATTGCAAGTTAAAGGCCAGGTGGGGCTACAGGAAGACCCTGTCTCAAAAAAAACAAAAAACCCCTAAAATATCAACAACAGTAAGCACTGTATTCAGAGTCGTAGTGTGTCTGTTTTCTTGGTCTAAATAAAATCTGGAATTTATTTTTAAATATTCCTAATACAAAAATTACATTAAAATAACCCTCAGGCTAGAGAGACAGCTCAGCAGCTAAGAACACGTGCTGTTCTTGCAGAGGACCAAAGTTAAGTTCTCCACATCCACACTGGACAGCTCACAACTTCCTGTAGCTCCATCTCCAGGGGCTTCAACGCTCTTTTTTTGCCTTTTCAGGCACTGAGCTCATGTACACACACACACACACATACACACACACACACACATACACACACATACACATGCACACATACACACATACATACATATACACACATACATGTACACATACACGCATACACATACATACATACACATACACACATACATGCACACATACATATACACATACACACATGCACACACACATACATACACACATACATGCACACATACATATACACATACACACATGCACATACACACATACATACATACATACACACACATACACACACATACATACACACATATACACACACACATACACACACACATACACACATACACACACATACACATATACATACACACACATACAACTTTAAAAAAAATCTTAACCATCAAACCTTATATAGTCCCTCCATCTCCTCTATGTCAGGTTTCATATGACAAAATTTATGTTGTGTAGGAGAAAACACATCAGAAAAGTTTATAGAAGTTTCCATATTTTTCCTTAATCTTTCCAGAAAAGATTATTGGTGAAAATAAAGAGTATAATGAAATAAAGTCACATACCTGATTTCCACAAAATCTACACATGTTCCAGAAGGGAGGTCCTCTAAGGAGAAGTTTGTGAAGTGTAATGCAATCTGTTGATTTGGTCCCACTGTGATTGTATAAATGCAGTCGCAGTTACTGGGGTATGGATTGGGGAAGTTTGGAGAACTGAGCTCCCCAGTATTTTCTGTATAGTCTTGGAAGCATGCTGTGAAGAAAAAAACAGAGAGAAATTTTTTTTAATTATGCTATATTTGTAACACATTTAGTAATATATACTGCAATAATGTGTGCCTGTGCACCTGGTTTTCAACAGTTCTTTAGAATGTTCAAAGTTGGTTTCACTTTGAAACGAAGTTTTCAAAATCCCAAAGGCAACCCAATATTAAGCTTTAATGGCATAGTGAACATATTTACCTAAGTTTTGACAGAAAAACAGTTTTGTCTTGAAGTGTTATGATTTTTCAATTCCAAGTAAATTGTCATAAGCATTAAAAAATATGTTCGATTACAGAAATACTATACAGGGAGTATAAACAATTTAGTCGTGCGCTTTTATAACTTCCTGCTCTGTATTTCTGAGCAACTGCAAGCCATGTGCCTCGGACGTGACGTGAGGAAGAGGAGACCAGAGGCAGGCATGATGGCACACACCTACAATCCCAGCACCCAGGACACAGAGATAAAAGATCCGTATTTCAAGTCCTATCTGGCTACATTGCAAGCCTGGGTTTCTAGACCCTGTCTCAAAAGCATATTAAGACCAGTCATGGTTGTCAAAGGGACCTTCAGTCAAAGCCCATCTCACACACTGACAAGCTAGACACACTTGTGTAACTTGCTCCAGCCCCTTGGGTCTCAGCTCCTTTATCTGCATGATGGAGCTGGTAACTGACTTTTGTAGTTGTAAGATAATAAGAGAGTGCAGGCAGAGGACTCCCTTGTGGGACACAGATGGTAATATCACCATTAAACAGCACTTACTGGCATATAAACTATCGACTTGGAAAATAAAATTAGTTAATTTTCACCTAAAGAAACTAGAAAAGAGAAAAGGATCTAGGATGTGAGGGTCATCTGGCTGGACTGACGCGGCTGACCCGCCTGGCTCAGGGGGCTCCCTGCTGCCCTCACTGCCTCGGCCTCCAGCAGGTGCGCTTCCACTGAAGTCTGAAGAAAACCTTCCGCAATAGACAGCAACAGCTCTCCAAGGAAACAAGTAATTAAAATAAAGAACAAAGATGAGCATAGACATCGGTAAATAGGAAATGGAATCACAACAAGGAAAAGTGGTGGAAAAAAAAACCTCATTCTTATTAAAAGTGATAGAATGTTAGCATAATTTATCCAGTAAAAAAGTTATCCAGTAAAAAAGAAAGACTACAAATTACTATTTTTAAGAATGAAAGAGGAGATATTACCATAAAATTTCTGGGCATTAAAGGAAAAGATACATAAAAACTGTGCAAATGGATTTGATAATGTAGATAAAATACACAAATTCTTTCACAGCCACATATTGCTAAAGTTGACTCAATAAATAAATAAATAAATAAATAAATAAAAGCTTTCATAGTCTCTGTCAACCAATGAAATTAAATCTGTCATTTAAAATCTTACAGCAAAGAAAACTATGTACTCAAATAGCCACTAGTGAGAGTCGACCAAACGAAAGAAATATTTGCACTATACAAATAAATGTAGGAAAGAAGATGAGATGACTCTATCTCATCCTACAAGACCAAATATGACTCAAACTCAAAGAAAGCAAGTATACAACAAAGACACTACAGATAAATATGTTTAATGAACACAGGTACAAAAAAACTTTCACAAAACTTTAACATAATAAATCGGGATAATGTGAAAATTCTATCACAGCAAGCATAGTTTATGCTAGAAATATGATTGTTTTGATATTAGAAAAGCAAGCAACATAATTCACAGATTGATAGGATAAAAGACCAAAAGTTTGTGATCAAATCATTCTGAAAAATCAGCACTCATCCTTAATAGAAACTCTGGGCAAGCACAAGCTAGAAAGTCATGGGTGGACAGCCTGAGCCAGTGTCATGCTTAGGTGGTGGGTGATTCAATGCTTTCCTGTCCAAATGAAGAGACGGGAGAGCGTGTCCAAGCTCACCCTCTCTACGGAACATCATACAAGTCCTGCTTGCTGCAGTAAGGTGGGAGAAAGAACGGAAAAGAGAACAGTTTCTTGCTATGACCATCTTCGCAGACTGCAATTATGAACCTAATAGATACGGGTAGGAACTAAGAATGAGTGGAACAAGTCTGGAAATCAGTTTAGGATGTGGGTATTGGTCATGTAACTGGAATGTAACATGTCAAATACTGTTTACAACAGCATAAACAAGTGGTGATAAATTTAGTGGAAATGTAAAACTCAATACTGAGACCTTTACAACAGTGATGAAAGAAATTAGAGAAAATATGAATGAACAGAAAGATCATACGTTCACGGATTTGAAGACTCAGTTTGAGATGTTCTTTGTTCCCAAATTAGTCTATGAATTTAATGAAATCTCAATCAACGTCCAAAAATGAACCTGCTGAAACCAAAAGGATCTAAGATAGTCAAGATAAAATTCTGGAAAATGAAATATCAATATGGACGTTTTCTACTCCAAATTTTGGCAGAGCATAAAAGTATATACTGTCACATCACAGACTGCCCTTGTCCCGTAGGAATAAATACACACATCAGTAGGATAGAATAGGGAATCCAGATGTACATCCATACACACATGGACCACTGACATCAGCAATAACTCAAGGGGAATTCAGAAAGTGTGAGGTGGGATTGGGGGTGGAGATCAGTGCAAGAAATGATGTTTGGTGTGGTATGGTCGTGCTCACTCACCTTTAATCCCAGTGCTCAAGGAGGCAGAGAATCTCTGTGAGACTGAGGCCAGCCTGGTCTACGTAGCAAGTTACAGGCCAGTTGGGGCTACAGAAGACTGTCAAAAGAAGGAAGGAAGGAAGGGAGGGAGGGAGGGAGGGAGGGAGGGGAAGGAAAGACTGACAGACCAATGGGACATTAGGATTCTCTTGAATGCTAGGGGTGCTCTTGAAAGGAGAGATGCTTGTACTAGGGGTAACACATTTGCTATATCTATGGATAAATTTTCTTTTATTAAACTACAGGATAAAAAAATCTATGCTAGATCATATTTAAGTTTTCTGTACAAAAATGAATTGCGGTATTCTAACAAAGAAGTCAGATATCCAATAAATAATAATTAAAATAAATAAAATATCATATTTGGAAAGGCCTCAATAGTAAATATTGGAAAATGGTCTATTAAATTTTGATTGTGCCTTTATAAAATTAAATTATACAATTTTTAGAGAGAAAAACAACATGTTTCTGAAATATTTATTGAAAGCTTCTCTTAGAGCTGGATGTGGTAGTACATGCCTATAATTCCAGTGTCTCTGAAATATTTATTGAAAGCTTCTCTTAGAGCTGGATGTGGTAGTACATGCCTATAATTCCAGTGTCTCTGAAATATTTATTGAAAGCTTCTCTTAGAGCTGGATGTGGTAGTACATGCCTATAATTCCAGTGTTTAAGGAGTCTGAGGGGAGAGGAAGGCAAACCTGAAGCCAGTCCAGGCTATATAGTGAGCTCCAGTGCAGTCTAGTGTATACAGTGAGACTCTGCCTTGAAAAAAGAAACAGCAACAGCAAAACAAAAGCTAACACTGATGTTCACACAATGTTCACTTTTCTGACCTTGACAAGGCAGATGGCTCTTTCTAAAATACCATTAAACTGAGAAATAACAGCAGTGCTAGGTTTTGGTTTCCTTCAGTGCTTTGAAACAATGCACCAACAATTAAATTCAATTGTGTTCCCGTGCAAGAATGCTCATGCACTTCCGTGTTTATCATATCAGTATAAACAGAAAGGGCGGCTATGCTTGGATTTCATGTTGCCGGAGAAAATTCATACCCAACAGCTTGACCTGTTATTTTGGTCTAAGATCAGTTATAAAAAGGTGAGGAAGAGAGACATTTCTTCTGTACCCTGTCTTCAGCTGATTTAATAATGAAAAAGAAAAACAACTATCTCTGAAGATCAAAAATAGCTTTAAACTCACAAACTTTTTTCTATGACCAATCTGAAAAAAAAAGGAAAAATAGAGAAAATAAGCAAATGAACTCTGTAGACTAACAGAAAACCCACAAAACTACATTTTTCCAAAAATGACAATGTTTTTCTGCTTCCTTTAAGGATTTTCATAAAAACTTTTGCACCATGACACCAAGCACATAGTCAAAGGAGGAACTGAGGAGCGTGGATGGTCCTTCGACCCACAAAGCCATATTAGTTATATGAGATTTGAGCCACAAGAAGAGGGAAGACAGATGCTGTGGATAGAGGAAGGCATTGCACAGGGAGCCCTACATTTGGGGTAGCTGCTCCGTCACCCCCCTGCTTGTGCCTTACAGCGTAACAACATTATCGTTCAATCATTTATGAGACTTGGTTTCTCAGTGAATCCATATGGCCTCAGACTGTTTAGACATGTGATAGAGTGCCAATCCAAGGATCCATCTGGGACTTTTACTGGTGTGTTTGGGATGGCCTTGAGCTCATAGAGATCAACATGGTTTAAAGCAAAGATTCCAAGGGATATATCATCACAAACTCAATTTCTCTTTAGGAAACTGGATTCCTAACTGAAATCTAACATTTTCCTATCATTTTGTTGGGTGGTCAGAGTCATTGTTTCTTCTTTTCCGTTACAGATGTATACAAATAAGCAAAGTAGAAATTCTAAAACTGTGCTTAAACATCAGAAGCCATATTTTAAACCTAGCAAAGTTGTGGTCCTTTGTAACTGAGGTGTAATTTGTGTCTCTGTGTTAGAGCCAATCATTACATTTTGTAAGCTACAGCAATTTATGTGCCTAGATTTGCCTTTCAGAGTCTTTGATGAACTATAAAGACAAGATTCCATTACATTCACTTGAATTTCCTAGTAAAATTATACCCTAGACCTTAATCAGAGTGTCTGTCTGATTTGCTTACACCTGAGTGTGTAACAAGACAATCTCCTCCATCTAAATATTTTTGTTGTTTTGGTTTTTTAATGAACATTGGAGTCTGCAAATACTATCCTTACCACATAACTCTCTCTGCCCATTTCTCTAAAATAAATCCCCCGTAGTCTTTCTG